CTTTAGTGGGTGAGTGAGGTTTGTGTAAGGAATAAATTACCAGCTGGTTAATAATCGATTCGAATCGCCATCGTTCACTGGATAGTGAACACTTGACTTGAGTTACTTCATCGTAGTAATGTTGATGGAACACTTGGACAGTTATAATGAATATGACATTATGGAAGTTGTTAATGATCATTGGTTATCATTATTTGCTTAATCACATGCTTGCTCTAGTATAGGTGCAAATGTAGTCGACAGGTTAATAATAATTAACTTGACAATAATGCTTTTGGAAAGGTTCTTGAAATACTAAAAATGCCTCTTTTTGCAAATGAGTCAGCTACCCTACTATAAAGCCATTCATAATCCTTGGTGTCACTTTATTTTCGGTTATGTCGGGTAAGTCTAGCTGAGTACCTTCTCGTACTCAGGGTTTTATTCCCACTTGTTGCAGATGGGCAGATGTATTACAGCTACTGTATCAACTGCCTTTATCATGCGATGGGTGATGCTTAGGACCATGGGCATGGTCATTCCTTAAGTCTCGTCTAATGCTTTTGTTGGAGATGATCATTAGCTGGCACTGTATTTGAACTCTATGTGAGTGTGTGTGGTTTTGAACAAATGGCTTCTGCTACTTCTATTTGAACTCATTTTGTAATAACTATGTTTAAACTCTGATGTACCTGTGATGCGAACTTTTATGTAATATGTGATGGTGACCGCTAAACTCATTACGATCTTGGCTGGTATGTGAGTTGGTTTGAAATCCTTCGTGATTTCATGGACTACCGGGTTATACGGGCTTAAGTTTGCTAAATCGTCTGCTCTGGCGGGTGATTTTCTTACTTAATTTCGTATAATTGGTCGGTTCTGTTACAATGATGGAGATGAGTGGGAGGACTTTGGCTAAGCTCACAAGGTTGCTATGTCAATGCAAATGGCCAAGAGAGTGAGCTAGAGCAGGCCAAACACCTTATATAAGTGTCCCCTCACAATAGAGCCGTTAGGCTCTCACTGCAGCCCAACTCGTCGAAATAGATCAACTGAACGGACCAGCCCCAGTGTTTGGTCACTGATCGTCGTCCATGTGTCCCCCGCATTCAATGACATCTGCACGATCTCAATGGTCATGTGACTCAGCGCAACCCCTAAGTCATGACCAGATGTGTAGGCAAGCTGACCGGACGTACCACACCCACGTCAGGTCCTCACGCGCCTACGCACCAACACCCAGCAACAAGACGCACCGATGGAATGACCGGACGCTCCACTAACGTGGAGTCCGGTCACTTCCAGAGAGCACCCAGAGCCGCATTTTGTCGATCGGACACGTTCGGTGTACCTCGACCGGACCTAGCTCAGCGTCCGGTGCAATACCCTAGGTTACGCTGCCTCAGCTTCTTCTGACCGGACTCACCACTGTTGCGTCCGGTCACATTTTGACCTAGTGTCCGGTCACTTCAACAACAGAGCCCGAGCGTGCCAACTTCATCTAAAATTGATCGGACGTTGCTCCCCCGAGTCCGGTCACTACGTGACCTGCGTCCGGTCACTGTTTCATAATGACAATCACCTCCTTTACTTCACTAACTTCTTCACCCTTGCTCAAATGTGCCAAACACCATGTGTATCACCTTGTGCACGTGTGTTAGCATATTTTCACAAACATTTTCAAGGGTGTTGGCTCTCCACTAGATCCTAAATGCATATGCAATGAGTTAGAGCATCTAGTGGTACTTTGATAACCGCATTTTATACGAGTTTCACCCCTCTTAATAGTACGACTATCGATCCTAAATGTGATCACACTCGCTAAGTGTCTCGATCACTAAACCAAAAAGCTCCTATTAATTTCACCTTTGCCTTGAGCTTTTTGTTTTTCTCTTTCTTCTTTTCCAAGTCCAAGCACTTGATCATCACCATGGCATCACCGTCATCATGATCTTCACCGTTGCTTCACCACTTGGAATAATGCTACCTATCTCATGATCACTTAGATGAACTAGGTTAGCACTTAGGGTTTCATCAATTCATCAAAACCAAACTAGAGCATTCAACGGTTAACCACTCTTTGTATACCTTGTCGTTGGTGAAATGACACCATGTGCATGTTCGGAAGATGGAGTTGTAGCTGCATCACAGGTGGTGAGTTCTTGCTCAACTCAAATCCATATATCCTCCACAATGCTTCTAGAGGGGTCACCCACCTAGCCTCTCTATATTGTTCAATCTCATCATTTTTTCCATTTTCATCAGGCTTGCTAGCTTCTCTCATAGACACAGAAGCATGATCGTGGCCCTTGTATATGTACTTGAATAAGTATTTCATGGCCTTGATGCTACCGCATGCCTCAACATTTATGTGGCAATTGAAAAGTCGGAGGAGGTAAGGGTTGTAGGGGACGACCCATCTATTATCTAGTACGGCCCCTCGAACTCTTGCATGGCGTCCGTCTTCACGTCGCCTATAAATTGGGTAGGAGTCCTTGCCCTGTAAGGTAGCCTCACTGTATGGTAGTGGATAATGATTCTTGCATGAATCATGACCCTTTGTGCATGGGCAATCACGATTTAGCACACCGCATGGGCCATGCATCATATGCTTGATAACCAACATGTGCAGCTCTGGGTACTTCTTCTTGTCTAGAATTTCGGCTGAGATAAGACGATCATACTATTATGTGCATGTGAGCTTGTACCTCCTATTCATAATCAGCAAAAAATGGGCATGCGGTAAACCTCGCTTCTGGAACTCTATGACATGCACATGTGCACAGACCTTCCCAAGAATATCATTTTCCATCAACCTTTTTTTAGCTCCTCCAGCTTTGCCCTAAACACACGCACAACAAGATCTAGACGATCTTGTGATGTCTGGCTAGGGTAGAGTTCATCCTTAATTTCATCCCAGTTTGAGTTGCATGTCATCGTAAGAAAGATATCCGGTTTTCCAAACTTCCATACTAAAGCCATGGCGTCCATGTACCGACGCCTCATGTCACGTGGGCCACCAATGAATGATGTAGATAGTATAGTCTGCTTTCCAACGACAGCAGCTCTGTCCTCACCAGCCTGCAAGCTATCCACCAAGCCTTGGTATAGGTCAGCCCTTATCCTATCATGATTCCTCCGTTGATAATCTAGGCGATTGCTCTCGATCTTGATATATGTGTCGACCGCAAACTGTTGAAAAAGACGCTTGCCAAAGAGTATCAGGTTGAATATTCCTGGACGCATCTAAAATTTATAACAGTAGTAGTCTCGCATAGACACACATAGATTGCCAGGAGATTCTGCACAAACAATTAGATCGAAATTAGTGATGGAAAATAGCATGCTTAAGATGAACAGTGTAAACTACTATGAGGAAACAACTAACCTGGTTCATCCTCATTATTATCTGAACGTGCCTTGCGGAGTGCACGTGCCGCCATTACTTCTTCCATACTCACATTTGCCTTTGGAATGTCAATATGACACCCAAGTTCTCCTCTAGGGAAGAACATAGGGTATGACAGTGGGTCATAACATCCATTGTATGACCGGATGCCATACATTTGCCTATTTTTTCCTTGTAGGATTACACTATGTTGGAATTGTCCATGTCGTTCGCTTCCCTCGATCCAAACAGCGGCCACCTCAGAATTGATCGGCACATTATATACTCTCTGGTCCAACTTTTGGTCAAGGTTGAGTGTCACACAGTAGTCATCAATTTGTTTAATTTGCCCCATAGTCCTAAGATGGTCAGAGTATGGATTACCACGAAGGATGGCAACCAACCTCTCGATAACTTCTTTGTCTTTTTCATAGTGTTTCTTGCGACAGCTGCGGTAACGGTGCTCAAGACTTGGATCGTCATCGTAGAAGTACAGCTCTAGATGCTTAGGTTGTGTACCCTCCTGTCTACCAAATGACTGTATATTGTGGTACATCTGGCCATGTGCACGGAACGTGTATACACCACTGTTCCTGATATCTATGGTCATACTATAAAGGTAACAGTAGAGGGAAGTGAATGAGAAATGACCATTGAAAAACCGAATGTTATCATGGAAGTGCCTAGCATCAGCATCTGCACTTGACCATAGTCTCATGAGGTCAGGTGGTGTGTCTGGTGTGGATAGCTCAATCTTTCCGCTGCAACAGGAGAATCCAGGTGGCTTGGATTCAAACTTCTTTGCATTGCAATGTTGGCAGTTGTAAACTGGCTTTAACTTATGCTCCTCTTCAGGGATGTTACTATACACCCCGTCGTAAGGATCAGGTATGTCAGGAATAGATGTAGTCTTCTTCTTGAGAATCACCTAACTCATCATCATCGTCAACTTCCTCATCTGAAGTGGTATTTAACAAACACGTTACTAATACTTTCCAAAGGCACAAATGTAAGTACATTTTGTATTATATTTAGCGTAAGTACCTTGGCCAGCGAATAGATACCCCAAGTCAGCTTCTTCATCCTCTTCAAATATGATGCCCTCGTCATCACCTGTTGTGTCATAGGGACCTGTGAAAGGTGCATATTTGAGGATGAGCACTCAATTGTACCGATCAATCATGGTAAATACCATTTTAAACAATGGAGAATGAATAACCAATGGACGAAATATAATTAAATATATTACCGTTGCATCCTGTGGGTAGACATGTCTCTGGAAGCTAGACATGTTGAGGGCTTGAACCGGTACCTTTATTAATGACAGGGTGAGTATAGTGAGGCTATCGGTAATTTTTTATATAATAAATTAAATTAGTTGAAAGGAGTAGAGAAGTGAGTAAGTACCATTGTTTATGACACATGAATTATTTGGGGTTTCAAATCCATAGCCATCTTCATTGGTCATGCCCGGATTCTCCATAGCTAAAGCAACTATTTTCCTTGCAGTGTTTGCTTCAAAATGTTTGTTTTGTCTTACTAATAGTGATTGTCTCTCTCCACATGGCACACGTCGTCTACGTGTTATCTCATGAGGATCCATATCAAGGGGGCCTAACATCCTGTGTCTGGTCTAAAGCTCTCTGGACGTAAACAGGTGGTCCACTTGCCTCTGGAATAATCCAATCGCTCGGGGTAGTTGAATTTTCATTAAGTGATACAACACTGGGGATATAATTTGGATTAGAGTGTTGCGCCGACGATGCCTTTCCATCCTTTTATTCCCTCTCTTTGCCACCCTTTTTCGTTTATTTGCTGCTCCAATGTGCTCCTGAGTTTGAGTACCGCGTCGACAATCATTTTGAATATTTTGACGTGCTCGTCTCACCTCCCTTTGCTCAGGTGACATACTTGCATAGTGTTGTCTTTCCCTAGCACGCTTAGCTTCACGTTGCTCATTTGTTAAAATCATCGTACGGGAATTGTTATGTGAGGGTGTTGTGATGTCACAATCACCGGCTGATGTGGTATTTGTTGAATCAAGGCAATTTTCTGATAGCAATTCATCATCTACAAATCAAAGGAGTTTTTTGTAAAGATATATGTTGTATTTTGTACATTATTACACTAAAGCCAGTAAATTAAGTAGAATTGAAATAGATGTCTTGTAGAAATCAAATTCATAGTATTACAATAAATGTATCATATCAGCTTTATGAAATAGTATACAAGATATTCAGTGGACAATTGTACGTAGTACCCATCAATTGCAGGGAAGTCTTTGTTACATGTGGCATCTTGTATAAATCATTTATGTGAAACCAATCAACATTCTCATCTGGGACCAATCAAGTAGTGTTACCTTCAGCAGTGAGTGGGATTATGGGTTCTGGCTCTTCATTTGGAACGAGAGCTTGAGATTTCCTTCGATGATAATTTTCTCTACGTTTTTTTAGTGACTTCTCCTTTTGGTCTTGAGGCATATTCGCATACACTTCCCTTTCCCTTTGCCTCTTACGTTCTTTTGGGTCTGTGGCGTCTGGTTGCACACCAGATGTCGTGGGTTCACTTTCATTGTTGGTGGTGTTGGATATATCTTTGAATGGGGTGCGACACCGAGGTTGTTCCGAAGATGACATCTGCGAGACAAGAACACGTTATTCCTATGCATCTCTTAGAGTGTAAAAAAGCCTATGCAGTGTCATTTCAATCCAACTGAAACTTTCCAAATGATGCAAACTGAATAACAAATTTTGTTGCCTGGTGAACCTCTTATTGTGAAAATTTAATGAAAAGGCTATCTAAATTTGAAATAAATTATTGGAGGCCCTTATGTTATGCTTCTCTCTGTGTTAAAAGAAGCAACAAAGATATGATGCCAAAAAATTAGAGATATGAAATCAACGGTAACAGGAAAATGCTCAAAGGAAATGTGACTCACCTTCTCTGGTTCTCTCAGCTAACTTCTTTCTTCTTTTTCTTTAAACAATTCTGTACCTCAGGAAGCCGTGTTGTAGAAAATTCAAATGAGTGAAAACAAAGCATAACTCTAACTGTTACATAGAGAGAGAAAATATATAAGTGAAATATGGCACATTGGGCTTTTAAGAGCTCCTGGGAAAAAATTCTATTTAAGAAAATCTTTTATCCAAACTGTAAGAACTTGAACTCTAAATAAGGATAATCTTTCAAATATATAGCTCATATGATTCAAAAGGGAGTTTACATACACCGCATTGTGCAACATCAAGTTGTATCCGTATGACCATAAGAACAAGTTCAGTAAGCTCTCCTCTTTCAGCAGCCTTCTCAATTTCCTGCATATGAGTACCATATCAGTTCACCAACTAAACAAAAAAAATTCAAAAAAGAACTACATATGAACAACTGAGCTGTATCATGCTAAGCAGGATTACACCTGTGGTGATTAGAACCTATAAAGAACAGTATAATCCTGAGTAGCCTACTGATAGTGAGGACAGGTAAAACCAGTTGGTCGTGGCCTTCACTTGAAGCTATGGCCCCAGAAATTCAGATTTTTCTAACCTCCTACAAAATTATAATGAAAATGCTAAACGATTTCAGCATAAACATCATTCTCTCTTAGCCATTTTAGGAAAGACTTCATGGGATACATGAAAACTCGATTCTTGATGCTATCTTTCCATATTCGATTTGGGGTTCATGCACATTATCCAGTCTTGAAAAGAGATCAGTGTTATCAAAATAAGATTGACAATTTGGGGTTCATGCACTCCTAACCCTATTTATTTAGATCTTGGCTGAAAGCAAGTTGAGTCGGTTTGTATGATGAGTATTTCTCTTCTTGTCAGATATTTACGCTCCTCTTTCCACACTCTCTCCGAAAAAATAGTGCAACGCAATCAGAGAATCTGGCAACTTAACAGCATTAATGTCAAATTCTTCAAGCTCCTGATTTGACATTTTCCTATGTTTCTTGACCTGCAGGAATGTGCAAACCTTGGAGAAGATGAGAGAGGATGTGGTGAAGGAGGGGCAGCTCTACAGGAGGTGAGCTATTACAGGTGGACAGAGGCAGCTGGAGTCGATGGAGGGCACGAGGCAGAGTCCAAGAGGAGGCTGGTGGTGCTTGTACCATTGGTTTAGTGGTTATTCATATCATTTTTTGTGTATATGTCCAGCATGGTTGTAAAACAAAACTAATCACTACCAGGTGCGTGAACCTAAACCTACAGAAAACCATTAAAGCATCTGAAGGCTGATGTGAACTACTGATCTACATAGTATGGACAGATAATAATTTTTTGTACTACTGTATCTCTGACTCTCTGTACTATTGAATCTATCTTAAGAACTCCTATGCAATTAAGAATTTGATTCTGAATTAGGACTGCTGGGTCTGTAGCCTGCAAATACCTGCTTCTTATTAATACAAACTCCACACTTCAAGATGCATTTGAGGCTGAAACGAAATGTCAAGCACGCTGTCCGCGTCGACCCTGAACTAATGCATACATATGTTGCGTGCAGGTTCCCTGAGGACGTACCACTGGCCTGGCGTGATGCCTGGGGACGAGAGACGCTGAGCAGGGGCGACGCCGGTGCAAGACGACAGCACGCGGAGGACGAATCGGCGCCCTGAGCACGGTTCTGAAGCCGCCGCCGGCCAGATGTGTCTGAGTTTCTAGGGATCGGCGGCGGGCACCGGAGGTACGTCGGACGGATACAAGCGGAGGGGCCGGGAGCGGGGGTGTCGAGGTGCTCTCCGCGCCGAAGCCGGAGGACGCCCGCCGGGGGATGGGAGAAACAAGAGCTGCGCCGGTGGCTGGTGAGTGGACTCGGCAGCGGAAGGTTGGAGGGCGGAGCGGAGCGGAGAGGGTGGCCGCGTGCTGGGTCGGGGCAGCGTCGCGTCGGCGGGCAGGTGCGCCGGGTCGAGGAGATTGGAGGGAGCTCGGGGGTTAGAGGGAGCTCGGGGCTCGAGAGGCGTTGCGAGGCAGGCGGCGTGGGCCGGAGTGGTGGGTGTCGTGGGAGCGGGGATTGGTTGTGCGACGGGACTGGGTACATAGGTACGACGAGTGTTGACGTGCGCGTGGAGAGTTTGGCGGCGAGAGGGAAGTCGGACAAAAACCGACTGGCAGACGAAGCAAGCTGGCCACGGCACAAATAAATTTTTATACTAAAAACATACGAATCGTATAATAAAATAATAACACTATAAAATTAAATATCGATGTTAAAGTAATATTTAATCTAATCTAAAAACAAAGTTTGTAAAATTAACACGGTCAAGGAGAACGCGGCGTCGTAGGTCACCAACTATCGCCCTGTTCGTTTGACTTATAATTCATACTTTTTCAGCGAACGAACATTATTTTTCTCTCATAATAAATCAGCTAATAATACTTTCAGCCATGGCTTATTAGTCAAGCAAATAGGGCGTATACTGTATAGACCTTTCCATATGTTGCAACGGAAATAAATAATACCCTCATACGTGTTGTATTATGAAAAAAACGATAATGCGAGGGAAAATAAACTTGAATTGTAGCGTAGACCATAGATACAGAATCACTAATCTTCAGCAATGTCTAATACTTTAATACCTCTTGCTAGACAGTCTAAGGTCACAGCAGAGCAGGGAAACTCCTGATCGCCTGATTGGCTTATTATTAACAGCAGTTCGATATGGATGACAAGATGTACCTCCTGCTTCTCGGCTGCTGCTCGGCGGCTCAGTGCTCGGCCGCTGGTGGCCCGTGCGGACGATGGCTAAACCAAGTTAGCACAAACAACTCCCTCCAAATTTAGTAGTAAACTGATAGTCACCTTGAGACAAAAGTACCAAGAAATTAGGTTTAAAATTGAAGGAAAAAACAACTCACTCTAAATTCAGTAGGAAACTTACAGTGACCTTGACTACAACACAGGAGCAGCCTAGAACCTTCCTCGGATAGCCCTCAGAGGCTCATCTTGTGCTTGTAGCTAGTGTCCTCCCTGCATAATAAAGCAAAACAAAACGAAGCAGACATTATTCCTACGCCTAGTTTAGATTGCAAAAAAAATAAACCCGATGAATAGTGCCACTTTCGTCTTATTTGGCAAATATTGTCCAATCGTGGACCAACTAGGCTCAAAAGATTCATCTCGTGATTTCCAACTAAACTGTGTAATTAGTTATTTTTTTTACCTACATTTAATACTCCATGCAAGCGGCTAAAAATTGATGTGATGGAGAGAGAGTGAAAAAACTTGGAATTTGGATGGCATCTAAACAAGATCCTAGATACAAAGGACGCTTTGAAAAAAATGAAACCAACAATTAGCACAAACAGTACTTGGAATGGTTTATTTGGCTAATAGACCATGATTTTGCAGGCCTGTGAAGTTTTGGCATGCAACATGAAACTAGACTGGCCCTGAACAATGACCGATCACTTTTGGAAAAAATCTAAAATGCTTTAGGCTGTATCTGGGTTAATTCATCAAGAAAAATATGATTGACAATTTACAACCATGGCTAAAAGAGAATATAAAGCAAACAACGTAAATTTAAAGTTGTACCAGAAATAAAACATCATGATAAGTAAAGCTCATGCTCTATTTATAAATAACATCAAAAGTACAGGTTTGAGCGACAAATATAACATGCAGGACTAGAACCAATCAGAATGGTCAGGTAATGGAACCCTTGCTAAATCACAAACTAAGTATGCACGTGAAGATAACTAGCAGGCAAAGTTATTAGTTCTCTACATGAACTGATGATATGTGGCGTGATTATCTTTGATCACTGAACCCAGACCAATGTTGAAACTGAATGGCTGCTAACTATTTTTCCACTCTCAACAGCCAAAATAGTTGCCAAGCTTTATTAGGTAAGAATCGTATCTCTCAAGATATAAGAGTTATTTTGTTTCTACTACATGTTAATTTGCATATATTAGTCCACATCCTCAGATCTATTTTTTTAGTGCATATAATTCTCAGTCTGATTGTTCTCAAAATATCTTTAGCGACAAAAAAATAATAGTGTCACAGTTTACAAAAGTATTGGATATGGTTGGCCTGATCACTACTAAGAGTATGTGATGACTTAGGCACATATGAACTCTGAAGCTATGTGAAGCTATTGTCAGATTTCGTTCAGCCACCTATATGATGACTTAGGCACCTCTAAAAAGAATTCATACTGAATTTGGTCTTCAGTTCAGAAACATTATGAAAATACATGCAGATTAGCCAAGCCTGGTTCTAAATAAATTCGATTAAACATTGTTAGGTTCTAATTAATACCGTGCTCTGAATAAGATCCTTTAGTCTAGTTCTTAAAATACTACATTCTGAATATTTTCAAGTTTTGAAATGGATTAGATGGGAGCATCTAGCAGTGAATTACAGTTCATGAAGTTACACAGGAGGCACATTAGCTAGCAAGGAATGTTGGGAATGAGGATTGGACATGCAAGATTTGGGAGGCGTACGTACCTTTGTATAGAGGTCGTCGGCCGCACCTTGAGCAAGACGGTAAGGCATCCTCTGCAGCAACGACGTAGCCGCAGCCCGCAAGGGCGTCCCTTTAGTCCAGCCATGGTGTAGAGGACCACTATGGCGACGATGTAGTTCGTGTCTCCACTTAAATGGAGTAGTCTCTGCAGCAGCGGTTGCTGGATGGTGACTCCACGGTGATGGCAGTGGATCGGATCATGAACAGTAAGTGGGACAAAAAAAACTGGAATTCTGCGGTGCTCATATATTATTTTGCCATCCCTAATCAATACTTCAGAGACAAAACACATCTCTATGTAAACACTACCATCGGACCTCTTCTTAAGATGGTCTTGGTCATTTAATAAGCATATGTATCCATTTGTGCACAACGGTAATAAAAAGTTTTGAATGTTTATCATCTCATTGTAACCATTTGTGCAGTAGGAGTGAAATCTCAAAACCCAAATTGTGAGAAGTGATCCACGCAATGGAATGTATACTCTTATTAATTATCTGATCATTATTTTTTGTACCATAAAGATGTGCAATTGGGCGGTCATAATTCAGAAATCAGAAATTTAAAAACAACTAATAAATGATGGTGTGAGATGTGTTAAAACAATTGATTGAGGACCAGTAAAAGACAGCAAAGCAGAGAGAACTTCAGAAGATAACAACCCAGGTGAACATCTGACTCAGATTGACAGAGACCTGAAATAGAGAAGCTTCCAGTCTAAAACAAAATTGAGTATGAGACTATGAAACCTTCAGGCGTTCAACGATTGCAGGACCAAGGCCGCAGGATTCAGATTGCAGGATCAAAGCTGAAGTTGTCGGATCATGAACAATAAGTGGGAGGAAAAAACCTTGAAGTATGCAGTGCTGCCGGCGACATGCGTTGGGCGTCTGTGTGCGCGGCGGCCGCGGTGAGCCTGCGTTGGGCAACGGCATGCGCGGCGGCTGCAGGGAGCCTGCGTTGGGCAACAGCGTGCGCGGTGGCAATGAGCCTGCGTTGGGCGACGACGTGCACAGTGGTGACGAGCCTGCGTTGGGCGACGGCGTGCACAGCGGCTACAGCGAGCATGCGTAGGTTTGGATCTCCGAACTCCTTCTGCCGCGGCGTCTTCCGAGTTCCGATCGACGTGCAAAAAGACGATTGGGCACGCTGGCAATAAATGATACCCTATAGGCAACAAATGACGTCCTTCTTGGTCCTGCATGCAATTGCTCCCCACACGGATGTAATCTCCTTTCATCTATTGCGCCTGAGTGGTAATCAACGTTGGTTATTTCCTTGTTAGTCCTGCATGCAATCTCCTTCCATCTATTGCGATGGGTGGACTTCGATCGGGGCAGGACGTCGTTCTGCTAGGTGGACGTTAGCGTTCCCGGAGATTACCTTCCTTCTATTTGCCAGTGATTGACATTCCTTCTATTTCGCACGGGGCGGGCAGAGCAAAATTATGGAAAAAAATTCGCATGGGGAGAGGCGAAGGTGAGGCGAAGTTTTTGTCGCACCAAAACGGTGTCTCCTCTTTAGTCTTTTTAGTTGTGAGAGATAAGTAACCTGATAGTTGCTCGGTGCCATTACTGTAGGTTGAGTGCATATGGAGCCAGTCACTATTTTCGTCCAATTGATCTGTTGTATCC